GAGCTGCAGGGCCCGTGGCGGTGATTGGCTCCCGTTACAGCGGCGCTTACTTGTTGGGCCCAGCAAGTGACGGAGCCAACGGGGAATAGGCGCTGGAATGGGAAACAGCGGAGAGGTCACAGGATGGACTTGTCCCATGAGCGTTTCCGTACCCATAGTGGGCAGAAGATTCAGTTCTTACCGTGGATATGCTGCTAGTTTTAGTTTTGGTATTTAAAATGCTGACATCTGAGCCTCGTGACCTGCTTGGAGGGGTCAGCGCCCAGTTCTGGTGGTAAATGGCTGGAGCTCGCCTTGCCCCAGACAGGACACAGGGACTTTTGCAGCACAGGCTTGAACCTGATGGGTGCTGAGTTCACGGGCCTGGCCAGTGGCCTCCAGGAAGGGAGATGCACTTGTTCCCACCCAGTGAGCCAGTGCTCACATGACAATTCACCCCTACAGTCACTTCAAATTAAAAAAAAACCCAGTGTAATTAAGCTTATCTTGAAAGGAATCATTATTTTGATGTTGACACATAGGCTGTGATAAGAAGAAAGGTTTTCTTCCAGTAGCTTCAGGGCTAAAAATTCTTCTATTGTCATCTATCTACCATCCTAGCAGTGATTTACAACTGGTTTGAAAGCGTTGCTGCTTTTTTGCTCTCTTCCTATAGAGAAGCAAGTTTACTTCTGTGGAAAAAGTTGAAAGGTTTATGCCAGCCTAAGATGTGCAAAGTCCAGTAGGGTCTACCAGTAGGCTTTAACGCACCCCATTCCCCACAGAGCAGAGCTCACCTATTCTGCCTTCATTCCAGCTTCTTTGGGGCCCAGTGAGCCACCACCTGAAATACCTATATGCTGTTTCAGTAGTCCCAACATGCAAAATTGCTTGGGGCCAAGCAGCCGAGGAGCATAGCTAACAGCATGGTACTAGTACACAGCCAATGTCACTTTCACATCAGCTGCAAAGAGCACCTTCCAGTTGGGCTCTTTCTAGAAGAAGTAAAGGCAGTCCCAAATTAATAGGATCTGACAGGAATGAGTTTCCTTTCCTTCTCTGGTTCTGAAAGATCTAATAAAGCCTTCCAGCAGCATTCAGCCTATGTTGTGGAAAGGGTTAAAAGTCTGTTTGTCTTCCTTTAAGAAAGATTAAGCCACTTTTTACCAAATCTTGTTGACATTTCTAATTGCATTTTGGATTTACATTGGCCCACATTTTTGGCCCAAAGTTTTGCTCACTACAGGGGCAAAGCAAAGTGCCCTGAGCTGCTCATCAGATTTGTGTGAATTTTTATTTTTGACAGCACTTTCCATAATCAGTAAAGTCTCCGGCATAAATGATGTAGCTATGTTGTTCTTTATTCAGAAGTGCTCACTGCAATAAGTGACAAATACAAACAGATTACAAAAATAGTTTTCTGGAAAAAAAAAGCGCATTTCTAAACACTTTACAACTCCCTTTTGGCTAAAGTGAAGTTGTGGATCAAACCTGTACAGTCTGGAAAAAAAAAGGTTTAACTTATGAACCATAAACTTTGTTCATAGTGTGAGTTTAATAAGCTTTTGCTGGGCTAATGGTGCATTTAAAGTACAAATGTTGGGGTTGGTTTTTTTAAATACCTCATTTGTTTTTTGATATAATGTTGCTGGTATTCTGCTTAAGAAATCAGAGCTGCATCATTATAGACCTCAACTGGGAAAAGTTAAACTGACATGACGTGTCCCTAAGAGCAGTGACAAGCTAACCGAAAACAGCCATTGTGTTTCTGCTTTAATGGGTTTCAGACCAGGGTAGGAATGTATGCAAACATGTTTTGTTTTAGCAAAAAGAAGAATCTTACACTTTCATAGAATGACAAGGACTGACTTCCTCTAAAGAGTCATTACATTTGCTTCCTGTATACTTGGCTAGAAGGGAGAGTTACTGTAAAGGGAACATCAGAATTATCTTTGGCTGCCATTACCTCCACTATTACTGTTTTTAGAAGTTTCCCCCTGTGGTTTTCCTCATTGGGAGTTACTTTGCAGCAAGAGACATCCTGTCCAGTCCTGCCTTGGCATGACATAGCATGGACAGTTTAAGATGGATGAAAATACTGGGGGAGAGAGATCACTGTGCTTTGTTTGGCCTCATCCTCTGCCCTTCACCCCCCTCCCCCAGGTACTGTCTATTAATCTTGGATGGGTTGTATTTATTAGATCTTGCTTTGAACGCAGTCAGGTAAATTAACACTGGGAATTAGTGTCATGTTGGTGGTTCAGTTGGAGTGCCGTTTTCCATCATGCAAGGGTATCCCTTTTGAGGGGAGAAGGAAAAGGACCATTTGTTTCCTTGTCAGTAGAAGCAATTTTGATTAATTAGTTCAGCACCAGTTTGTGCATTAGTGCAGCTTTAGTTAAAGTAGTAACAGCAAAGACTTCAGCACATGCTTTCGTTACTATAGGTCTGTAGCTAACAGAAATTAGTTCTGTTTTCCTAGTACTAAGAAAACAAGTGTTAAACCCTGCTCTCCGTACACCTCTGAACATGAGGAGTTGTATTTAGTTGTAGAAGGAGCAGTGTGTATTGCACATACCAAATAACCTGCTCAAGGCTGAGGGATGTTCCTTTTAGAACCAAGGATTTCCCATTTCATTGTTACTCAGTGCAGAGGCGCACAGTCTTCTAAATGCCACAAGACTGTATTTAAAAGGTATTTTAGGAAGAAATAACCAGAGGTAGAGTTACAGTGAAGTAGGGTAGAGAACAGCAGTACAGTGCATTATTTATCAGCTATTGAAGCATCATCACCTTTCAGCTCCACTGTAGTACAGATCTGTTTTCAGCTTTTCATTTTTGATACCCATCAAGACAGACAACGTTTAGACATTTTGACAATGACATTTAAGCTAGCATCTGCTGGCTCTTATAGGTCTCATTATCAAGTCAGGTGAAGCTTCCTTTATGCACTTCAGATGGTACTCAGCTTGGGAGAGAACTTTGAGGTACACTCTATGCTGTGTAAGGCTAACTAAAAATTATTTCCAGGCTTCAGGTACTGGAAGAGTAGTGAGTTTCTCTTGCTTGAAGTAGTAGTTTTAGTATGTTAAGTTTAAGAAATGCACAGGCACATCAACCCAGTTATCTGTTAACAGCAGTCTTGTCTTTTGCAATTGGGAAGGACTCCAGGTGGTATCAGAGCGAAGTTTAAAGAGTTTAAGACTGACAAGCATAAGATGGTAGAGCAATTTTTTCATCATGAGTGCTGAACTGAAGGTACTTCAGACTTTGAAGTAGTCAGTGGCTAGTGCTTAGAGCGCTCAGCTTTTTCTGGGCAATTATACTAGCAGTAAGACTCCTATTATTACAAGACTCACAGTCTTTGTTCTTACTCAGTTTAGCTCCATTTACTTTAATGAAAATAAATAACACTTCTAACGCAGGCAAGAGGTATTTTCAGTTCTCTCTATACTTGTTTTCAAGCAGGTTTTAGAGTGCATGTATCGTTGCACTAATGTAGCAATTAGGGACTTGGGCTTATTGCAGTCACCAGGGGACCGGAATGGTCATTTTTGTTTCTTTCACTTAGGACTTTTCCTAATGAAATCATGAATTCAGGTTATAACTAAAGGTTAAGGTCACATAATCATAGATTCTGATTGCTGTGCTGTTTTTAAAGCTTGCGATTGAGAAATAGGAAGCTAGTGATTGTGATTGAGAAATAGGAAGCTAGTTTAACTGTTATTGGCTTAGAAGGGAAATTTTGATGCCTAAGAACTTAAACAACATTCTTGGTAGGGAGATAGTATAAACATTTACTGGGAGCTTTTGTTTGCCTGTAAAACAGTGGAGTTTATAATAGCTTCTCAGCTTAAGTATAGAACAAGTGGGACTTTATGCATTAGTACATAAAGAAAGATGGGGTCTTCTAGCTTCTGTCGTGAGACCATCTGTATGGATGAGAAGGTTGTAAGAAGTATGTTGGGTAAAAGTTGCATAAAATGTGTTTAGCAGTTACGTGGTGGCTGTTACCATGCGTCATTACATACGTGAGGTTGCTGTTGATCATGCTGTAGATTCAGTTTACTGGACAAATGCAGCCACTAGTCTATGCAGATCCATCACAGAGCGTTTAAGAGTCCCCCATTCTTTTCACTGCCCAACTTCTCACTGAAAATCAGGACTTACATGAAGTCTTGATTTGTTACATCAGCTGGGGGGGAAATGCTATGGATGAGCCATATACTGGTCTTCCAAGACTTGTGGTGCTCACTGTTCATAACTAGCATGTCCTAGAATACTCAAGGTAACTTTATCACCCCTTGTTGGTATTATGCATGCTTTTTACCAGAGAGTTCACCCAACAACAGCTGCTAGCAGTTCTGAGCCTTACTCTACTGTAAATCCAAATCAGCAGCACTTTTGCAATAGAGTTTCTGTACTTTGGCAAGTTGTTCATGTGAGCCTGTATAGAGATTGGAAGACTGTTCAAGAAAAGCATCTTTAGGTAGTGCAAGACTTTAGAAAGACCAATATTTTGGAGTCAAGTCTCCATAAGAGGAAGAAGCTAGGAAGTCGAGTTAACAAGGCTAAGACAGAACATACACTCTGAAATCACTTTGGATGCAAACAGATCCTGTCCTGAAGTCACTGCTGCTGCAAAGAAAGTATAGATTTATTGTAACTAAAGGTTACTGTACTACTGCAGAAGGTTGGTACTTCATACTTTGCCAAACCTAATAACTTATTTTTCCTATTTTTTTCAGATGGAACAAATAAAGAGGGCAAATAAACTGTTCACCAATGACTGTATATTTCTGAGGAAAACCCTGAATATTCCTGTTGTATCAGAGAAACCATTACTGTTCAATGGACTTAATTCACTGGAATCTCCTGAGAATGAAACTGTTGACAGCTCCCCTTCTTGTGATGAAGGACTAGTGACAGTTCAGGAAGAAAGTAGTTCTTCTCCCAGTCCTCAAGAGCCTGACAATCAGCCCACTGCCCCAGAAGAACTGTCTGCCAAAGATTTCCTACAGAGGTTGGACTTGCAGATTAAGTTATCCAAACAAGCAGCCAGAAAACTAAAAGATGACAATGTCAGGTAAGTGCCACTTTCAGTATTAAGCTTCTTAATCTCATCCTGAAGGCTTTTTAGTCTGAGCTGAACCCTCTTTGTAGGGTATCTCAAACATATCAAAGCATCCGTAGTTTTAATTTGTAAACAGCAAGTCTATGCTATTATCATGCACCAGATACTGCCATATCAAGGCATCTGCTAATGGTGTGAATGTAATAAAGGCTGCCTCACAATACATTGTTTACAGACTAGCAGTAGTATTCCATGAAAGCCAGAAGGCAGAGATATCTTGCTGTGTGAGTGGGCAACTATTTAAGCAAACTCATAGTTTTCAGTAGAATACTAAGCCAAGGCCTGTGTGGAAGCTAATTGCGTACAGCAAGGCATGGTTGCATTTTTCTTAGTCTCAGATTGCCTCACAATTGTGTAAATATTCTCCATGTTGCAGTTTCAGTAAAGCTATCCCCTCTCCTTTCCCTGTGCAATCTCTCCCTTTGTGGATCAACCTACATAGAAGTCAATCTTTTCTTCAGTATTTCTCCTACAGCCAGGAGCTCCCACACACTTTACTCTTACAAAAGCAGTACCTTTTGACCTCTCTGCCACAGTGATTACCCCTTCACATATGTACGGAAAGTACAGAAAGACTTAGAGCAAGAGCAGACTTAACTAGTGTTTGTTTCCCCATGTCCTTGGGAAAGCTTCCTCAGCACGTTCACAAGCAGTGGGTGGCCTTTCTCATGACAAAAAAAGGTGTGACTGCAGGGGATTTACCAGAGAGCTGAAGAGAGGTTATGCCTGCAGATATGTACTTTGCCTTTGCAAATTTGTTTAATGCAAAACTTCTTCCATCATCCTAGTTCACTTCACACACTCTGATTTTGAGTACAAGCAACATACTTTTCATGTTAAGAGGAAAGTAACCTTTCAGGACCAAATCTATTGAGCATAGAGCCCCATCATTTCTTTAAGATATTAAGGGATTATTTCAGCAACTTAAACTTTGTTCAGTAGACAAAAAATTAAGGGGGAACAGTATATTGCATTTAGCAATTGGACAAGCCTTGTTTGGAAGAGTATCCCATAAGACAGCTTAAGGCAATTCATTACCTGGTGCATTCCACATAAAACTCTCCATTGCCAGAGCAAGACTGGTTTATAGTTAGTCTTAGGGAAGGCTGGAACGCTTCCACATCTTTTTAACACACTTGTCAATTATTTTTATTTTGAATTGATTACATGAAAGAGGAAAAAGAGGTGTTGGAACTCAGATCCTTCTCTATTCAAACTCATTCGCCTGCATTGTATTTGAAACAATGTAGAGCATCTATCAAAGTGTGCTGCTGCTGACTCACAGATCATCAGACATGGGTATCTAACACAGATTAGAGTAGGTGTTGACCCAGCAGTTAAACTGGGTGACAGGAAACCACAGTCCCTGCCCGAGGAATGTAATTATTTCAACACCCCTTGAACAAAATAACATGTTAGTTTACAGAAGGAAATTCACTTAGACCTTGCTGCACCTTGGGTGGGGCCAAAGTGACACCCCTCAAGTAGTATACTGCTACTCATAATATCCATTTCCTATATTAAGTTACAACTTGCAAAGTGAGGGCTTGGTACCAGATTTCCTCCCAAGATACAGGAGGATGAGTTACTTTCCCACCTCCTGTTCAGATTTAGCAGGTAATTTTGTTAATTACACAGAGCACAGATTTTTATTGTTCAGGAAGCACGAAGTACAGAGCTGCAGGCTGTCTGCTGAGCAGGATGTTATCCAAAGCTTCTGAAGAGAAAAGCTTCCTCTGTCTGATAAAGTCTTCATAATGTCACCTTCCGCCCCACCACCTCTGGCTTTCAGTCATGGCTCACAAAAGCCATCCTTGTCTTATCTTCTCCAACTGTGTTCACCCCTTCACAGTGTGACAGGAAGTGCCAAAGGACCAAACTGAACCTTTACAGAGCGTTTGCAGAATGTTTACTCCTTACACAGAGGAAGACCATTGCTGAAAGCCCTGGAGGTACTTTTCAGCTACCTACCATCAATGGTATTTCTGGGCCCACACTGAAAGGTGGCAACATTGCTTTCTCTTGCTCCAGCAGCTCCACAGGAGGCATCTGTTCTCCCTCCTGCCTGTACTTTTCTTGTCCCTTGCTTGGAGCAGGAGGCTTGAAAATTGGACAGCCATCGTGGTAGTAAATTAGCCTTATGAATTCATGAATTGTCAATTCTTAGAGTGAAAGCCATTTATGAAATTAAGAGTGCTGTTTCCAGCTACTCTGGCCTTCTGTATTCAGATTGCCTTGCCAAGGCCTGTTTAAGATGTGGCATGCAGGATGCTGCAGTGTAGTTCAGTGCTTGTTTGAGAGTAAGAAAGGAGCACTTGGAGTTACATATACTACCAACAAAAGGGACACTGGAACTAAGAAAACTGCAAGCAGAAACAGACTATCAGTTCCAGAACTTGAAGAGTCATAACTTCTCACCGTACCCATGAGCCTGGTTCGACAGATAGAGAGAATCACATCTCAAACTGCTCTTTACTTTAGTCTCCCTTAAAGTTGCCAAGAATGCATGCACATACACGCACTGATTCTCAAACTGTACAGGCAGTTTTGTAGTAAGAAATTGCCCTGTGCTATAAAGACAGCTTAAGGTGAATTACATTGTTTAATCATAACTCTTGAAGTCACCCCTTTAAGTGCTCTCAAAGGAATAAGTATATTAATCTCAAAAGTCAGCTTCTTCCCAGCTAAAGCCTCTTGCTGTTAGGTAGAAAAACTGAGGAGCACAGAGGTGTGGATTCAGTCCTTAATAGCCATGCAAGTAGATGAACATTGAAGATTATAGGATGTGATCCACTCGGTTTGTGCCAGCTACCTTTCACTGTTAGAGTTTATGTAAACATATGGCTAGATCTGTACGTGACACTACTAGAGAGTTTCATTGGGCAATAACTTATTGGTTAATGACTCCCCCAAGCAGGTACATTTCTCAAGCTGCAGCTCTAGGTGAGCAGCTTAAGGCAGTAAGACCTGTTTTTGCTTTGAGTGATGTTTCTGCAGTAGGCCAAAAGAAATTCAGTGTTTGTAGCATATGGTGCTAACTCACATATTTGCATGAGGGAAGAATACCCATTATTAGTTTGATCCACACATGGAAGAAAAGCAACTTGTGATAGTTTGAGAAAATATGGTAGAGCTTCATGTTGCCCCAAATGCTGTTACACATCTTTCAGGATGCCAAAACTGAAAGTTAGTTTAGTGATGCTTTTTGTATCAAATAGTTGAACTCCAGAGGTCTAATGCAAGGTCTTTATAGAGTCCTTAATATTTTAGGGTGGTACTGTGGTAGGCTAGAACACTAGGGCTGTATACTGTGCTTCTGGAACAGGTCACATATCTGCATTTACCTTTTAGTGACTTATTTTGAAAACCTTGTAGCTGAGTAGAGCCACTAATCACTATTGCTTGTACAAGCCACTGTAACTGGTGTGCAGCACTGGAACAGAACCATATATTGTCATCTGCTTGGTTGTCTTGACCTGAACCTAGGAATGAGTAGGGTGTTGAAGAATTTGGCACTGATAATTGAATTAATTTGCCCAGTAATTGTTCACCATCAGTGGCTATCAGCTGAGAAAACAGATAACTCAATAAAGGAGGCTGCCTGTCAAGAATCCTATTTTCAGACTTCCAAAAGCTGTTAACTTACAAACTCACATTGCTGCCTTGTTTCATGGTGAATCCTAGAAGTATCCAAGCATTGGATTAGAGTTTGTTTGTTCCCCCTCAGATGCGCCTGCTCTCACAGAAGTGGTTATTAGCATTTCTTATTGTGGCCTGATGCATACAATAGCTTGCAGTAGATGTCTTTCAGCTCCTGTAACCTACTGGGTGAAGTGGCCACAGCAGACAGGAAGAGACAGCACTACAAAGCATTGTGATGCTGTGCTGCTCCTTTCCCTTTGCCTGAAGGAGAATGCTGCAGTGACTTACCACTTTGTATTTCAAGCAGCTTAAAAGTGAAGAAAATTCTTTGGTCATTAAACATATACACAGTGCCGCGTTGTTAATTGTGGGCCATGGGCTGGAGCTACTACTGTGTAATTTTACTTCACATAAAGCTTGTCTTGTTTTTAAGCCATCAGAACAGACTTGTACTTGCTGTGTACACTTCTGAAGATCTACAGTAGTAATAATCCCTGGCCATTACCTTGGTACGCAGCAGTTACAGTATTACTACAACAGTAATGTGTTGTAGACCTCCTGACAACAGCCTGGTACTGCAGCCTGGGACAGAAGGTTAGAAGCTGTTCTTGCCAACCCTAACTGCCAGCTACAGCATGCCTGAGCCTTGGTCAGAAAGCTGTTTTGCACATTACAGCCAGTCACTGCTTTGCTTGGGTCCAAGCATAATGACCTACTACATGGTTCTTAAGTCCCTGCCACATGCAGAAACCCTCAAAGCTGGCTGTGGCTCAAGTGCCAGTCTTCTGCCCTCTGCTGACAACTGCTGAGGAAAAGCCCACAGTCCACGTGCGTATTGCACAAGGCAAGTGGAGGCAAACAGCTTGGGCTAGCTGTTTAGTGACTTTGATGTCCGAGGACCTGCTAATACAACATTACTGTTTCAGCTCTTCAGTTCTCCATGTTCATCCCTGCTATCCACCGTAATCAACTGCAGCTAATTTCAGTCCAGGGTTTGGATGTTATTCCTGTATTAAGGCTTTCAAGAAGAAAAAAGACTGAAAGGCCAATTCTGACAGCCTCTGCTTAGAAGGAAGGCCTTGTTGCTGTAGCTCTGCCACATTTTATTGCCCTAAAAGGGGAAAACACAAAACTAAGAAGTACAAAGTAATTTTCAGTGTGCAGCACACAGTAAGCTTCTCCCCTAGTAGACAGTCTAAGCCCTGAAACTGTAGCAGCTCTCCATCCTCAGAAACTAGCAGGAGATTGCTCTTTGCAGCTGTGTTCTGGGCATATGTGGCTCAAAACCCATTGCCCCAGAAGCGCATATATCAGAACTTCAGAATATACTTTTTGAAATATTTAGCTTCAGCCAATCTTACAGTCCTGCAGTCCAGTCTTACAAGCTTGGTATGTTGATAGTTTCAATTCTGAAAGAAGTTTTAAAATGTATTATCTTGGGACAATTTATAGATCAAGAGGGTTTTAGTGCTTATTCAGCTAAAAATGAATTGTTTGCTTCCTTACGATATAAGGGAAGATACTACTTAAATATACACAGATCAGCTGTATGTTACGAATCATGCTGGGTACTGTGTCTGTAGCATCACTAATCTAAATAGATTTTAGCCTTTCTTACAAATATGTCTGTTTTCTATACTGCTGTAACCACACATTCCTGCAATAACTACCAGTTTCATCCAAACCCTGATATTTTTAAGTTTTAATTTTTTGACAAGATTTTTTTCAAGGCAAAAGCAATATCATGTCTTTGGCTTAAGATGATAATTTTGCTGGACTACCCAAGAACAGGGAAGGGCTGGAAAATGAGTGCAAGTTACTCAGCTCAGCTGCTTGGCTAATTTGTAGGGTTCTTTCCTCTAATTCTATTCAGGGGGTTATATGAAATTTAAGTTGTAGATAAATAGTCACATTTAAAAGTTAGTAGGGAAAAGTCTCCATGATTTGGGTTTGGAATACTATTGAAACATACAGGTTTTACTTTATACCATTAGACTATTTGACTAACTGTACCTTTGAATGAAGGCACATACAGTGTGAAAAGTAACTGGAAATGCTTTGAAGCTCACTGTGTAGCAACTGTTAAGTCTTTCTGTTCTCACTAAACCACTAAAGTTGGCAGCAGCTTTAAGAGTAGGCTCTCAGGAACAGAATTTTAAAGCTACAGTAGTAGAAAACAGTGATCTTTGGAGAACTTAGCATGCTTGAATTAGTACCGGATGCTGCACTGCAATAGGTTTACATAACCACTTTTTTCTTTAAAGGCAATATTACCAAGTAAACAGTAGGCAGACTGATTTTTCCTGATTATTTTAATAGCAACACTACTTTGGTTTATCCAGTTATTGCATTAGCAATAGCATTTGTGGGCAGCTATTTTCTCCTAGGAACATCCAAGTGATCAGTCTCAATATTGATTGATGCAGAGGAAGGAACCACGCTCAAGGAATATCCTTGCAGCATCAAGACACAGATCCAGCTATAACTATGATGGACACCTCCTGCCATTCAAAAGGTTGAAACAAACCTACAACTAAGCTTGCTTTTTTGAAAAAAAGAGATTGAAAGCAACAGTACTGGAGCTCCAACACACCCTCGCTTGTTTATCCTCAACAGTATTTCTTATTGATTTGGAACAGTTATGTCAAGAAAATTCGTTAAACTAAATACGTTCTGATGTTGCTGAACTTGTATAGCTTTATTTGTTTTCAGCGTTCTGTTCCTGAAACAACATAACAAGAACTCCAGAGAAGTATGATGAACAGTAGTCTACTGTGAGTCGTATTCCTGTTGGGCAATGCCAGTGTATTTTGGTCCATTAGGAAAACTGGTTATCTGCATGTACCTTACAGTTTTACTGCTGAGACATGGTATGTTGCTGATCTGATGATGATTTTCTTTTTAGAGAGGAGGAGAATGAGGAAGGTCCCTATGCAACTTCTTCATATCACCAGTAGAAGACAGATGTGATGGCCTGAAAACTTTCCATGAAATCAGTTCTTAAAGAACTAAATGGTCAATAATTCAAAACCCAAGTCTTTTGGACTCATCTTGATGTACTTAAACCAAGTCATGAATGGGTAATTGCACTGAAATTATGACCTCTTCTGCCTTCTGTAGGTTAATGTCCTTGCTCTATATCAACAAAGGGTTTAAGCCTTCCGAACTAGCAATGGCCTTTATACCCCTTCTGTGCAAACTGTAGCATGGTAGCAACAATATATCCTTGAGGTCACCTTTATGCAGGATGTTGATCTTTAGTAAAGATTTTTGTAAATACTTGTTAAAGTGAAATTTGTTTTAAGTATTTAAAAATATTTAATAAGTTGTAACTGAAACTATGAAAATAATAGAAGTTTACTTATCTACAAACATAGGCAAGTTTGCTGTGGAAGTTTTGTCTACTTCAGGGCTGCAAGAACTTGCCTCTGAACTCTTTGTGTGTGTCTGTGTGTGGTTATGATGTATTCCTAGAAATGGGAATTAGTTAAAGCCTTTATGGTTGAACAACTATTTGCAAATTGGATTTCTGCTAATAAAAGGGAAGAGTTACAGCAGGAGATTTTTCTTTTGTGAGATACGACATTGGAATATCAGATGTTCTTGTGTGCAGTTATATTTTGTGTGGTTTTAATTTAATAAATACAAAAATACCAATGTGTGTGTTCATAATGAAGTCAGCTTGGTTCTAGTCTGGTTTTTGTGAAGAATGGTTTGTCTAGTTACACGAGCAACTAGATGCTAATTTCAGGGCAAATAATGTCCTTTACCATATAGCTCACCCTCCTAAATGAGACCTGTAAGAACTCTTTGATGTAGTTGTGCAGTCAAGGACACTGTATTAGTAAGCACCACACTGGTAAGCCTTTGCTGTGCTGAGAAGAGATGCCTGTATTCAAGTCTACAAGCAGACCCCACCTGAAGCTCAGGAAGGCAGAGTGCAGACTGCATTCACTCATTGCCTTCAAGTTAATGTATTAGCAAGTTCTTGTTAAGCATCCTACAATTCTTCCTCAAGTATTCAATAAGCTTCACAAAACTCTTGTCAGTAAAGAATTGCTGGATCCCCACTGTGACAGATGCTGTTTCCTGTATATCAACTCATTTATATAGTTTATTGCTCCCTCTAAGCAAAAGCTTTCTGCAGTATGTTAAGATGGGAGCAATATAGAAAGTTACATTAATTTACTAAAACTAGAAATAAAAGTTCAAAGCTAGACAGGAATTGGTATTTCCCTAGAGCTTGCAGGAACTCAGACCTGCAGGCTCATTCAAATCATCTCTAGCTCTAGTCCCTAAAGAGGAGGTCTGCAGTGGCACACAAATTAACAAGAACAGGGAAAGCTTGGAGTGAATAAAGGGAAGCATTGATTTTTCTTGAAGAGACAGGTGAATTAGTATTAGGTCTTTCTTAAATTGGGATTTGTATCTATTCCTTACAGGACATTAATTTATATTGTTGTCAGTTAATTTCAGTAGGACATGACCAGAGGTAGGATAAACTACTTTTCCAAAGGCAACCCTAGCTTCAAGCCCAGTTATATTTTGTAATCCTACAGAAAAACGTAATTCTTTTCTACCAAAGATCTGCTATTGTCATACCCTCACCTATCCAGCACACACAGGACCAGGGTGCTTTGCTGAGCAGGTCAGAAGCACAGCTTTCCTTGCCCACTGCGCACACCTCCTGGTAGCCACACAAGGCTGACCAAGCTCCTGGCAGAGCCACATTTCGCTCCATCTTCCCAAGAGCGCTTCTGTGCTTGTGGGCTAGAAGACCTTGAGGACAAGCGATGGAAGACTGGTGACACCATTACATCTACTTTTCCTGACTGAGAAAACCATACAGAAGCACAAGGGAATAAGCAGCTTTGCCACCCTGGAGACGTGGTTGGGCAGAGACCCGCTGCTGCACAGCCTTCCCCTCGGGTGCAGGCAGATTTCGGCCCAGACCCGCAGCTCGGGCCAGGAGCACGCTGATAACCCACAGCGCCTCCGGAAACCCCACCGCACCGGCACTCGGCATGGCATCCATTGCCAAACCATCAGCATAACCCAGCAGAGACACCTAACCCTCTGTTCCACGCAAGCATTTTCCTGCAGAGAGGATTCCGATACCACCATTAATCACAGCAAAGGCTGCCTGCAAGAGGCCCTACCTTGATGGCCGTGGCCCTGGAGCAGGTCCCCGCTCCTCACCCGCGAGGCAGACGCTCTTAACACAGTGCCCCGAGGGCACACTGCTCAGCACCAGGACAGAGGGGCCCTTGGCTTTTGCTTCTACTCTGCCTTCTTTGGCACTTCAGCCCTGCTTAGCAGAACCCTCAGCAGCCACATCCCCCCTGCCCTGGGGGAGGCTGCTCTTTATGGCCGCAGGGCCTCCCAGCAGGCTGTGGGCCTGACCAGCCCCCGGGCACAGCTGGGCCCTGGCGAGCCCTCGGGGTGGCGGGGTCTCCTCAGCCGGGCAGCAGCTGCGGGCAGCCTGGCTTTTGCCTCGGTGCTCGTTAAACGGGATTCTCGTTGTGCTGGCAGCCTATCGCCGCGTGGGCAAAAAGTTAAGATTTTGTTGTGTTTGATAATGCATGTTCCTGGTTTCTGGGTCAATAGATGTGGTGTTTCGTCATCTCTAGGGCAAATACAGGGACTGAATGCCTGCTTTTTATGTAAGGATAAAGTATTTTTAGGAATTGCTTTGTTGTGCCCCTGCAAGTTTCTTGCACCCCTTCAGTGGCGTGAGGTGCTGCACCCCGCAGCCGGGCTGCACCCCCTGAGCAGGGCGGCTGGTCATGCACCCCTCCCAGCAGGCGCCTGATGCACCCCGGGTCTGCTCAGCCCCAAGGAAAACAGCAGATGAGAGAAAATGGTGCCTGGAAGTAGCGTATCTGTAATATATTCAGAGTCATTCAAGATGGAGTTTTCCTACTCTGTAAAAAAGGGGTTCTTAAGACTCTGAAATAACTAATGTTTTAATATCTTAATCCACATTGTCATATTATTCTTATAAAGTGACAGTTTTTCATGTACATTTTATATATTGTTTATACATTATCCTGTATACTTTGCCTCTCCCTCTGCCTTTACTCTTCCTATGCTTGTAACTTCATTCTTTTATACCAGTCCTACAAGGTGTGGTTTAGGGCTGGAACGGGGCAATTTCAGGCAAAAGTGAAGCACACAGTGCAGATAAAATTCCATGTTTTGCACCTATTCTGTGGTGAGAAACCTGCATGTTTGTAGTTTTGTTTTTACATATTTCTTCAGTCAAAACTTGAAAGATCAAAACCTGGGCAGGCTTGGACTAGGATCTTTTTAAATAAAATGTGGGACATATCTGATAAAACGTTTTCATTTGGGACTCATTTGTAATGTGGCTGGAGGCTACTAACCCCTGTAAGTCCAGTTAACTCAGCCATCAGGTGCTGTAGTTGCATCTAACATTCTGAGAGTGGGGCATCCCCCTTCCTGCAGACATCGCAATGAACTCCTATTGCTCCATGATGCAGGACGTCCTCAAAATGCTGGGCAGTGGATAGAAAAGATGCATTCTCTTTGAACACACAAAAGCAGCCTTGCACTACTGTAGCTTGTAGTAAAGTGTTTAATAAAGTACAGTATCAGAAACAAGAATCTAATAGAAAAGCTCAAAAGGTGCATACCATGTATGATGTACTCGTTACATTTTCAGTGGTAGTTTAGGGAGTGAAGGATTTCTGAAGGATCCAGCAGAGATACAAACAACAAGAAACTGATTGTTGTCAAATTAGAACCAGAGATGTGCAGGTGTTGCAAATGCCTTTCTCACCAGGAAAAAGGAAAGCACTGGCAGAATATGATTTACTGATTATGTACTAAACACACTAGCAGCAGCTGTCCAGTGCTAATGTGCTCGAAGTGTTCCCTGCAAAATAAGGACTCATCTGTAGTGCAGGCTGAAACTTGCGTCACTCGGTTTGATTTTACTTAGCGTAAGTCATAGCCTTTTAGAAGCGCAGAGTGATTCATCAGGCTGGCTGTGTTTTTACTGTCTGGCTCTGAAAGGTGTGATTTACCAATAGATGTTCATTTGATGTACCAGCAATGAAACCAGTATTTGGAGCATTCAAATAACAAGTTTAATGGGCTTGGGCAGGGTAGGAGGTGAATCTAGTGTGAAGGACGTAGCTGAGATTGCTCATCTGTCCGTCAGAGGGCTTGCTCTGCTCTCAGCTAGTCATCAGGTTGGTCTGATTGGTCTACGTCTGTACCCCAAATGATGCACAGCGGCAGGGTAAGCACAGGTCCAAGAACATGCATACTCTGAAATAGAATCGGGTCATACCCATTGTTTGGACTTTTTTTCCTAAATGATGTCACCTATGTTTTGTTGAAGTTATAAAATTTGCAAAACTGAGAGGTTAAAATTATTGTACTAGCCTTTCTGTGGACACAAACTGTCCATCATCACAGGTCACTAGTTGATGACACCTTTCCATTAGTACCAGACTCCTGCATAGACTCCTGAGAGGCCTAAGTAAGAACCTAACTTCCAATGAAAATTAAAAATATTATTATACTACTCATTATATTGACAGGAGAAGAAACTTTGGGCTTTGGTTGTTGTTGTTTTAAAGTAGCCATTGGGGAAGGAAAGTTTGTCCTTTTTTGGTTTTTTAAGTGCAGATCCTACATCATTACCACTTCCCCAACTGCAAAGGTCTATGGTTAGTTATCTTTCTCCTGATTTCTTTCATAAATGAAAAAATCCGTTTTTCCAGTGTGATAGTCACATAAAGTAAGTCACAAACTGTTACAGAAAACGACTGAGACCTATAGGGACAAGAAGAAATTCTGTTCTTTGGGAACATTAGCAAATAATAATAATAGTAAAAAAGATTAGAGGGTTTAGATGAGAACAAATAAACTGATTCAAAATTACAGGAAGTCTTTTTTCTTAAGTATTTTCTGCAGTGTTTCTAAGGGACTATCTTCAAACAGGAAGCTTACAGTTCTGGATACAGTTTTTATCTTAAAATAAATACCACCCCTAGTGACTGGCACTGCAATTCAGTGATCCATACCAGGAGGTGTATGAGCAGGCAGTGATGTACTTTTTTTTTATGATAGAAAGCATTCATTGGCTTATGTATCATCAGTTTTCAAATAGACACTGTTACACCTCATTGCTATCACAGTAATTTAATATTTGTTACCAATAATGTTCAGTTGATAATTTGTGTTTTGCAGCGTTTCCAAAGTTTCTTTGGTTGGATAAGAAACATTGCTCAGATCTCCTCCTCCTCCTTAATCTCCAACTGTGCTGAGAAAATGAGGAAGGAAACGATCTGCGTATTTAACATTTCCAGAACTTTGTGCTGGGCAGGCAGTGCTGGAAGTCAGCACCTCCCTTCATTGCAGGCAGGTACTGACCTCTGCAGCAGCTAACATTTTTTGACTATATCAAGCTCAGAAGTATCATGAGGTTTGGGGTTTTTTTAAATTAGAACAGGGATAACTTCAATTATCAATGAAGAACTTGTAACTAAAGAGAACAGGGCTTTCCTGGAGTTCATTTAGACAAATGACTGCTGCAGGGGATAAGTCTCAGGACTTAACATCTTCTGGAACTCAGTTTAAAAACATCTTTCCCTTTGATCTTACTTCTTGAGTTCTTC